TCAGCAGTGCCACTTCTGGGTACATACACACAGAAATGGCAGCCAAGCAGGAAAAAACATGATGACAAATAACATGACAGATGTACTATAGTTCACTGAACCATCCTTTATTGTTAGACATGTGGGCCAAGAGATATGTCTGATCACACAGCAGTTCCCAAAGTCATAGTCCTGTCCTTAAAATGCTCAGTCTTGGCGTCTTGTCCCATCTTCCAGATGACCAGGCACATGCAGGTGCTGGTGTCCTCACTGGAGCTGTGGCCATCCACCCTGTCCTGGATGACGTGTCCGAGGTAGTGTGCCGTGAGGTTGCGAAGGGAGTGCTTGTAGGGGAGGCCCCGGTAGTGCAGGAAGAGCACAGATGTATCCAGCACGGTGCTGTGGATGAGCTTCAAAGCCAGCAGGTCGCTCTGCAGGCTGTGTCCGATGAGGATGGTATGGGCATTGAAGAGAGTCAGCAAGGTGGCCTGGACGTCCCGGAGCGAGGTGCTGGTGTCGACCAGGTCAGCTGTGGTGACTCCTGAAAACCTGGTGTTGTAGTCCACGATGTCGCGGTCTGGCCTGACGAAGGTGTCTTATACCACCTGCAGGGTGCTGTCTACCATGCTGATGCGGGTCAGCTCCAGGCCAGAGGTGGTGTAGCACATCTCACAGTCCAGGGCGTAGATGCCGGGGTGAGCCCCTGGGGGCAGCTCTTTGGCCAAGGTCTGCACAAAGCCCTGCAGGTTCTGCTGGCCGCCGTCCTGCACGTGCTGCTGGGCCACCTGGCAGCCAGGGGAGCCGATGGGGGCCGAGCAGCACGTGTACTGAATCTCCCAGCCCCCAGCCGCAGGAGTGGGGTGCAGCCGCCCCCAGTGGTAGTGACATTCTTCCTGGTGCACACAGCTGCCTGAGGGGGCCACGAGGTACTGGGTGCCACAGCGGCAGCACAGCCTACAGGAGGAGTCCTGGGGCTGCTTCTCCTGAGCTGTGAAGAGGACAGCACCCCTGGGCAGTGTGGGGTGTGCAAAGGGGTATCCATTCTCCTTGCGCTGGGCCTGGGTGAGCAGGTGCTCTTTGAGGCACTGGTACAGGGCAGCCCCTTGCAAAGGATCCTCCCCTGGGGGGCTGTATGGGCGCTGGAGTGAGAAACTGGTCTGGGTGGTCAACTTGCCCCCCAGCACCACCTCCTGGGACACAGCCCTGCTGTCCCGGGTCTTGTGGAAACCGGCTCCAGGGCCGGGTTCCAGGTCCTGCATCTTGTGGAAGGTGTTGGTGGCCACTTCCTGGCCCATCCTCTTGCTGGGGCTCTGGTGGTAGACCACCTTCTCCACCTTCAGCTCCTTCCCTGTGGCTTCCTGGCTGGAGGAGCAGAACTTGAGACTCTTGTCCATAAAGAGGCTGAGATGGCGTTGACAGGTGACGGCGGGCACTTTGACCCCACACTCTTTTGGAGGAATGGGCTTCTGAGAACTCTGCACAGGTGGGCTGTGGGCCATGCACTTGGGGGGCACAGTACTGGTGACCATGGACGCCTGGCCTGTTGGGGCGCGGGCCTCTGAAATCTGGCTGCCCAGCCCCTGGTTTTTGGGAGGCGGGCTGCTGCTGCTGGCTGGGAGGCGCCTTTTGGTACCTGCAGCCAGGTAGGGCATGGGGACTCGGGCAATCTTCCTCTTATCTCTGGCAGCTGAGAGGTGGATGGAGCAGGGCTCCGGGGCCAGCTGCTGGGCAGCCTGGGGCAGGCTGGCTGACTCCATGGGAGGCTTGTCTGCTCCCTGCAGCAGGTCACACAGCTCCTGGGAGGTGGGTAGCCAGGTGCGGGGGGCCAGGCCTCTCCTCACAGACTCTGGCTGGATGATGAGATATTTGGGGGCCCAGCTTTTTGGGGGGGCACCGGGAGCAGGCTGCCAGGGCCAATAGGCTGATGGCAGGTCCACTGGCAGTGAGGCAGGGGCACCAGGGTTGGGGCAGGGCAGGAGGAATCCAGCTTGGCCTCCTGAGCTGGCAGAGGGCTGGGAGGAAACCAGCTCAGTGCCGTGGCCCTCAGAGGGGCTGGAGCTCGTGCTACTTCACTTCTCCTGGGTGCCAACATGGTCTTGCTCTCCTTGGCTCTGGTGGCTAATGGCCTAGGGTGGGTGCCCTCAGCCCTTATATAGGCGGAAAGCCTGTCTCCAAGCAGATTAACTCGCTAAGCCAATGAATCCTACTTGATCCCATCTTCTCTAGATTGGTTTTCAGAACCCAGGGCACCTGGAGTCAGATGCACACACTGATCTCACCCTATTTAATTGATAATCTCTGAACTGGCTTCTAGAATCCAGGAGCTCCCACAGGACCGAATCAACATAAGGGAGCTCTGAGTCCAGAGAGTGAGCCCCATCCTCTGCTCAGTCCTCCGTGTGCCACGTCACTGAGTGCCCCAGAGTCACCTGACAACCATGCCTGTCTCTGGGCCAAGGGGAGGAAGTCAAGGCTCAGAGAGGTCAAGACCACACAGCGCAAGTCGGGAGCAAGACAGGGACCAGGCACCGTGACCTTGTGGGAGGGGTCACCCACATCTCGCTTCTCTCTGCTCTTATTCCTTTCGTTCCCCCCTACCCCCAGCATGGAGCACAACTCTGATTGAATGTGGGTCCCGGCACTTGTCTGTGAGGGCCTGGGGTGTGTGGGATTGCGTCTCCTTGCCTTGCTTGGTGAGATGAGAGGTCCTCTATGTCTCCTGCTCAGGGTACAGAGTAGTCAGATGCAATGGCTCCTTGTCTTCCACCTTCTCTTCTTTGGGGGGCTGGAACATATGGTCATCCCTCCATAAGGCTCCCTCCCCACTTTCCATCTTGCTAAACGGAACCTCTGAACCCATGAAACATGAAACTCTCTCTTCCTTCTCCCCCTAGTCCCTGGCCACTAGCATTGCACTTTCTGTCTCTGTGAATTTGACCACCTCATTAAAGTGGAATTCTACAGAACTTGCCTTTTTGGGCCTGGCTGATGTCATGAGGCATCATATCCTCAAAGGTCATCATCCATGTTGGAGCATGTGTCAGAATTTCCTTCCTTTTTTTAAACTGGACACTATTCCATGGTACATGTCTATGCTCCATTTTGCTTCTTATCCATTCATGTCTCCAGGCACTTCCATCTGAGATGTTGTGAACACAGGTGCCCAAATATCTCTTCAGGATCCTGCTTTCCACCGGTTCTCTGGGGCTACTACTGCTAAGGAGTCTACCTGCCTTTGAAGGGATTCAAGGGAATTGCTAATGATGGAGATATCCTCTAAAAATTCAGCAGACAATTTGTGGTAGAAATGAACAGAGGAGGAAATGCCTCCCACTCCTGTCTCTACTGCAGTGAGGACTCCCATACCCACTAAGAGGGGAGCAAGGGCCACCCTTTTGTGTCAAGGCCTGAGAAGACCAAGAGAGGATTCGAGTTCTCCCTCTGTTCTGATAGAAAGATTGGGGGCTAGGAAGACATAAAGGCAGAGTGAGTGTGACAGGTCCTGGGGGAAAAAGGTGTAGGCTGTAGTCCCACAAAGGAGAAAAATACCCAGTGGAGGGCAGGCTAAGGGAGGGGTAAATTTATAGATTGTGCACAGTAGTAAGGTGTAGGGGTAGCTGAGGTAGTGGTTTGAGAGGTATTTGCTAAACAGGTAGTGTTTTTGGTATTAAAGAGATGTTGTATAGGGTGCGTTGAGGTTTGGTATAGTTAAGGATTAAGTTAGTGGTCCAATAGGTTGGGATTGGAGTAGCTATGATGAGGGTTCGAGCCAGTGATAGACAAATCCAGCAGGATGTAGAGAAGGAGGGATTGATGTTAGAGAGTAGATGGAGGGTTGTGTTGATGAGGGTGGGTAAAGGAGTAGGCCTAGAGTTTGTGGGGTGAGAGAATGTCTCCTTTAGTGGGGGAGGGATAGGTCAGGGATTAATATAGGTTTTGATGAGGACAATTATACCCCCGGAATCCCTGCCTCCTTCATCTATTCTCTTTCCTGCTGG